ACATGCAATATAAATAACAAATTAAGAAAAGAAACTCAAACAAAATCATCAGAAAAATAAAAACTCACATAGTCACAGGTCAAACATCAATTTCACAAGCTAGCCGAATGAAAAAATAAAACCTAAAGAAAACAACGCCCTCTATTACGTACGGTATTGGTGTAGCTTTAAATGGTGTCTCTCAGCTCCAGATTAATCTTTCATCCATGGAATGTTGTACAAACCCGAGAGAGATACACAATAGTAAATAAAATACAAATAATTTAATGTTCCTTGCACGACCCAGTAACATTTGATACTAAAATAATACAATAACAGTATTAAGTTAAGAAAATATGAAATATTGGGATCTTTCAATTGAATAATTTTTAATTTCAAAGGAAATCTGTTTATCATCAAGAATTGTAGGGGTTGGTGGACAAAGCGAGTAGGTAGTAGAACCCCCGAATGTCATAGATTGATTAAAATTAAAAACTGTGTTCACAAAATACAAATTTTTGAATAGTTTTTTTGTATTTCTTTTTTGTAATGTTTGTGTTTTTTTAATTGATATACTTCAAAGTTGTGAATTAATGTTTAAAAAAACTGCATCAAAAATTTATTAATCCATAAAATTCGATTTAAACAAATGTATCACTAATAAAAAATAGCATACATTATATTGAAAATAGAATTATACATAATAATTTTAATATAACAATCGATTTATCCTCAAAAATCCAAAATGATTGAGAAGTTATAGTGATATGTTATGTGCTAGTTATAGTGATAGTTATATATAAATATATATAGTTATAGTGATAGTTCGGTGAGTGAAGAGAACGGGTGACATATATTGTTCCAAGTGACATATATTGATAATAGAAAACTATATGCACAAAATATCAAATGCTTGTCATTTCTTAAAGAGATCATTCAAAATAATAAAAAAAAATTTAAAAAGCACAGCAAAAATTTTCAGAAGCCACCTTTTTGAGTGTCTGCCATTATTGTTACAGGCTAAATCTGATATAGCCTCCCATATAAAATTAAAGCAAAATTAATGAGTGGTATATGTATATCAAATTGTACGCTTCTACCATTAAAAATGTGACTCATATACATATGTAACATAAGAAGCTTCAATTAATCTTTTTATGTTGTTCTTTTTCTGTAAATCCTTTCTTTATTTTATTATTCTAATCGAAACACTTTCTCACACTTTTAAATTCACATCCTGTCCTTAAATCTATTTTTGGCTCAAGCATCCATTAATTAAAAGTAAGACATTTTCACCTTTGCTCTTTGTGGGAATCGCGCGATCTATTTAATAAACCAATAACAATTATTAAGATTACCCTTATTCCCTAACTTAAATCAACGAGCACAACTTTTCGTGATCTCTTTTATAGCTGTTCTTTGTCGAATAATTAATAAATAAATTTTGTACCTTCCTCCCCTGCCTAAGACCTGTTTCAATCCTTCCACTCGGCAACGACATTATATATATTTCATCAACTATATGACAATCTATAAAATGGGGCAATGATGTACATTCTTACTTACATGCTGGTTCAAAAATATTAGTATTAAGATCAAACAAACTGAATGTTTGCAACTGAAACAACATCAAATGACAACATTTTTTTTGTATGTTTCACGCATAATGATACTAACTTGAAGATTGAAACCATTTCTCTTCTCTCAGCATTCGTTATCAAACAGACACAACCACCACCGTGGAAAGAATCTTCTTCATATAATGATATGCTGGCATCCTTAGGGCAATAATCTGAGAAGTAAATGGGCTGGGGCTGTTGAAGACTCACATTAAACCATGGAGTACTACTTAAAATCTAAATAAGTAAAAAAATCAAAAGCAAATCACAAAGCAGTTTCCGTCCAAAAAACAAGTATATTACATGGAATTATTGCAATTAAATTACACAAACATTAATGTTGATAAAATTCAATTTGTAACTAAAAAATTTTTTTAAAAAATATTTAAAATGATAATGCAATGTAATATGATCTCATCAAATTTTAACCTATTAAACATGAAATCTTCAGTTATTGAACAATTATGTATGATCATTAATAAAACTTATATATAATATTTCATAATTAATCGATTTTTTCCATAAAACATTTCATTTATATAAACTATCCCTCAAAAAGAATTTAGTAAAAAAAAATTTTAAGGTTACAGATAATATATGAATACGAAATATAAGGTGTTTTATTTATTTATTTATTGACTGTTTGAATAAAATTTTAAATATACATGAAGTATTCAAATTTGTTTGCAATGCATTGTGTAAATCCTTGATTTTAAACTTTCTCATTTATCTCCTAATTTTTTTTCTCCATGTATCTCGTAATTTTTTATCTCTATATTCCTCATAAACCATAAGACTTCACAACTTTAAATTTCAATTTTTTCCTCTCAAGGATGAAAAATTAATAAAGAAAAAAGTAAAATAAAAAGTTGGAATAAAGAAGGTTATGATGTGTCAGAAAATATAGTAATAATGGGTTGGTGAAAAAAACATTTTTTTAACACAGTTTAAAATAGTACTTTATTAAACAATCTTTTTTAAATCATTGACTAAATGAGAAAAGTTAGCAAAAAAAATTATATCTTTTGCAAAATTTGTGACACCAAAGTTTGACAGAATATTTTGATTCATACACTTTTGACTGAACGACAACAATTGCCACATTTTAAAATCATCATTTGCCAAAATTTCTAAATGTAACAGACATATGCTAATAAGCAATATAACAGTAAAAATGTCAGCATTCTTACTTTTCCTTTTTTAAATAATTTTTTTCCAAATCCTGGACAAAATGATGAATAATAGGGCAAACTTTTGACTTTTCTTACAGGGCAAAATTTCTGCAGTAAATTCCAAAACCTGCAAAGATATCAACTTTTTAATATATATATATATA